ATTTTTTAAGTTGAAGGAGGATAATGCAGGCGAATTCCACTAACGTTCAGTTTGAAGTTTGTCATATTTTTAATTTCATCTCAAATTCAGCTCGTGAAAAGTGTGTTCTAGCTTGACTTGAATATAAGATTGAGCATTTCTTTGGACTTTTTTATGGTCTTAATGGAACTTGGGCAACCAAAAGCTCAACCCGAGTCGGTTCGCTTACAACCTAAGAGCATCTTCAAGAAACTCTCTAAACACAATATACTCTCTATCTTACATAGCCAATGCTTAAAATTGAGCTCGAAAAGACTCTTTATGTCTTTTTTAAAATAGAGAGTAGGTTTGGTTATTCTTTAATGTCCAATGATTGCATTCAATACATTACAAATTTCAATTTTCTATGATTTAAATTATTCAAATTACATTTGAATTGATTGGACATTGACATACAAAAAAATAACGTAAAATAAGATGTTTTTATTATGCATAAAATGTATTTTATAAATAGACAATCTCTTGAAGATGCTCTGATTGGATTAGCAGATTATTTCAAGCGGGTTATATATTAGCAATCATCTTAGAACTTTTCTGCTCGAGAAATAGTTAAAATTATAAAGATATTGCTTTGCTTTACAAGGCTTGGACATTATTTTTGTACTGGTTCGACCTTTGTTGCATGTTAAACTATGGTTCACCCTTTATGTGATTTTAGTTGATTGTGCATTCAATTGTTTCAACTATTCTTAAGTATTCTCTTTGGTAGTAATAGTATCAACTACTTACGAATAAAATTTTCTGCTGCAGTTGTCCAATACGAAGCTCGTTGAAGCTGCTTCTGATGGTCCAAAAGCATAATTCAGGTGAGGTGAGACTAAGGGTGTCTTCCATAATTATACAAGATGTTGGTGGATGCTTTATATATTTCTCAGAATTGTTAGTTATATTGTCAACTTGTCTTGGTCTGGCGTGATTTTATCATGACTCTTCTGTATGGTACAAATGATGGTCAATCTACACTTGTCTAGAAAATCTTTTTCCTTGTTCACTAATAAATGGACTAAACTCATGTTTCATATTATGTTGTGACGCTCGTTTGGAGTATAAAAACTCTCCATTTTCATTGAAATCAGTTTGTCATCTTTGGAATGCTTGCCGAGTAAAGGCTTCTATGCCCTGAAAGTTTGATTTGCAAGGTTACGTTATTGTTTAGTAAATACAGATGGAAATAGCTGTGTCGTGCCCTGTATGTAGATTTTAACTGGACAAAGCTTCCTTGGTTACTAGAGGTATAAACCAGACTGGACCGCTAGTTGGCCCGGGGCTTCAATGGTTGAAATAAATTTTACGACCGTTGGGTCCCTTCTATTAAATTCTATTTGGAAACCATGGTCCTCTTCTCGTTTGGTGAAAGGTCTTTGTCAAGTGGATATTCCTTTGAATGCGATCTCTTCCTTAAGGTTGCGCCTGATCCAGCAAGCATATTAAGCCCTTGTTTGGTCTCCATTATTTCTAAAATGTATTTTTTCTGTCACTTATTTTCAATCACACATTCTTTAGTAAAATAATATTACATGCAAACTCAGAACTTTTCATTATTTTTTAACACCACATTTTCTATCAAAATACTATTCCAATATGCATTTTGGGCAAAAAAAGGGATCGAACAGTCTCTAAATGTCATTTACCGTGACCCAACGCTCACTTCCCATCCCCCATGGCTCTGCAGGACAATTAAGGAGTGACCTAAACTAAAGTTTGGTCCATGATTGCAAATTATGGAGCAACCATAGTAGCATCAAATTGTTGGGTTCTGTTTCTTAGGCGAATCAAACCGAATAACCCAACCATGAAGTTGCTGAAAAATTAATATCGACTGAATATAAAGCATACAAATCATACATTTATTTTTCGACAATGCATGTTTGGTACACAGTACGTTCCGTACTATCTAATCGTTATCCAACCTGCCAAACATGACATTGCTGTGGAAACCTAGTTAAGTGATCAGGTCTGGAAGGCAGGAATCTCAATCCCTTTGTTATTACAGGGAACTGGTGCATCATATTTGCTGAATAGCCTGTAAGATGATATGAGTGATAGCACTGCATAACAAAGTGTGACTATAAATGTAATTGCAATGGAGGCAGTGGCTTTCCTGCAGAAACCACCAAATGATCCACATGTTTGGCTCCATGTAATTGAGGCATCCCCTTTATATGCCAAATACACCACCTCCGTCGATATAGCACCGGCAGACAGGATCAAGTAAGTTAGTAACTGCACGCATTAGAGTAAAATGTGACTTTTAAGGAGAACGAGATGCACACAAATGTTCATTTGTTTACTTTTTTGAGCTCGTGCATACCTGGTCGAGGAGAAAGAATGTCCATGCTCGAGACATGGTCGACGGCCGAGGTATGGCCACGACGACAGCCGATAGAATAGAATAACCAGCACAAATGCCACTCGCATGCACTAAGTATCTACAAATACATAAATTGTGTCATACTGACGCTCAGCAACGCTTTCACTACTACTTCTTGGAGTAGAGTTCCGTGAGACAGCTATATTAATTAGTGTTTTGAAAATAATTTTTGAAAAAGTTCTCTTCCTGAATAGCTTTTAGATTAAGTCTATCTTTTA